ATAATTTCACTATTATGTGGGATATAAAACTTAAACATAGAGGCATAGACAGACAACAGTATGGTGGCTACCAGAGGGAAGAGGGTGGGGGTAGTAAAGGATAAAGGGGGCCAAATATATGGTGATGAAAGACGATATGACTTTGGGTGTTGGGAACAGTATACAGATCATGTATCAGAGTGCAATATACAGATTATGTATCATAGAAATGTACGCTGGAAACCTACTTATATGAACCTATTGACCAATGTCAGCCCGATTAATTAAAAAAAGAATAATACAAATTTTCTAGAGGAAATTACAGTAGATTATTTTTGCATTTTAGAGGCAGACAAATATTTCTTACAGAGGACACAAAAAGCATTAAGCATTAAAGGAAAAATATATGATAAATTGAATTTTATCAAAACTCAAAATTTCTGCTCATCAAAAGACACTATTAAGAAAGTGAAAAGGCAAGCCATAGTATGGGTTAAAATACTCACAATACATAATCTGCTAGATAAAGGACTGGTATCTAGAAAACACACATGCGTGCATGCATGTGCTTTGAGTCAATAAACTCCTACAAATAAATAATAAAAGACAACTCAATATAAAAGCAAACAACTAATAGTTACTTTATAATAGAAGACATACAAATGGCATAGGAAAAGGTGCTCCATATCATTAGGTTCAGGGAATTGCAAATTAAAGGAACAATAAGATAGTATTTACCCCCACTAGAGTGGGAATGACCAAAATTTCAAAAACTGATAGTACCAAGTGTTATAAGAATATGGAACAACTCCTTTGTGTCCTGCCTGCCCCCCCCCCCCCCCCATACTATTTCTTGAGCAACTGTATAAGCAGGGCTGGATAGACAGTTTAAAGTGGTCTCAGAAGTACCTACTTCTATTATGGATTGAGATCCTTAAAATTAGAGGGAGATTTATTATGAGACAATTTATGATAAATGTCAGGTTAGTTATACATAAAGGAAAAATACATTAGGATACTTACAGGGAAATGGAAATGAACTATCGTTATAGTGTCAGTTATGGTGTTAGGAAAGATGGAAAGAAATTTTTTCCAATATTCATTAGTATTCAAGTTGATAGAAAGGTGTGTCTCATAATAGTTTTTGTAAATTATGGTTTATAGACACTAAGTGGATAAGTTGTGGGGTCAGTGTCTAGGTAGGATTGCAATGAGTAGAGACCTGAAAGGTAGATTAAGGGCAGTTTTTTTGAATTTCTAAGGGCATTGGGTTTACCCTATAGCCAGAGGGGGTAATCCATAATCTAGTGGGGATGGAGTGGTTTTGGATAAAGAAATACATGTATTTTCTGCATTATAAGCTTCAAATTAGTGTAGTGACTGTCTGGCTGAATCGGAGTCAGAAGTGATGAGAATTGGGGTACAAGACAGGTTCAGTGATGGATGGACAGCAAAGATGGGCTGGGTGTAAGGACACAGGATTAGGACATCATGTGTTGGTGATAGCGTCATGCTAATGAATAGAATGCTGTATAGCTGTGGCAGGCTGATTTGTGTTTCCTCTTCACTGTGGGTAAATCAGAAGTCCATAAGCCATTAATCCCATGTCATCAAACAGCAGTTGATGAAATACGCAGGCACATAAGTGGTCTGTGTACAGGCATGTGTTGGTACATACTTTATATCAGTTATGAAACAGCCTTTTAACCAAACTTCCTGCCTTTTAAAGCCAGCCTGTGGTTTATGAAAGTGTGAGAGATATAGAACCTTAATTGTAAAGAGTTTGCTTGAAATAGGGTCTTTCCTCTCTTCTGTTTCATAATTTTATTGCTGCACGTAGCTCTATATTCTCTGATCTCTGCTTAATTTATTTTTATTTTCTTTTCCTTTTACAGGCCCAGGCTGCAAGCACAAAGGAAGTTTGCTCAATCTCAGCCGAATAGTCCCAGCACAACTCCAGTAAAGATAGTGGAGCCATTGCTACCCCCTCCAGCTACTCAAATTTCTGACCTCTCTAAAAGGAAGCCTAAGACAGAAGATTTTCTTACCTTTCTCTGCCTTCGAGGTAAGACTGCATTACCGCTTGTTTTGGAGGAAACAGCCTAATTGATAGTAAAAGTAACAGTGCGCACAGGACTCCCTTGCATGCTTCTTTCAGTTCCCCAGTCTGCTTTGAGGTAGAGCTTAAAGTGAGAAATCCCACTCCAGGGTGCTTGAGTCTTCATATTTCTCTTTCTTTTATAATTTGCCTCTTAATTTCTAAGTATAGTTAACAGTGAAAATATTGTTCAATGTATGGAAACAGGACCAATTAACAGTACAAGTTGAGGATAAAATTTTGTAATAAAGGATGGGTTTGGGTTTACATGGCTATATTTTGGAAAGTGTTTACTATAGTAATTAAGTTTTCTAACTGTTGTGAGGGAAGAATACAAAAAGCTTGGCAAAGAGAATGAGGAGCCTCTTACTAGAATGGTCTAGATGAGCTTTAGAAAGCCATGAACTTGGAGAGTTCCTATGTGAAGTTAGTTGAGAGAAGGTGAACAGGAAGAAGAGGGTCCTTGCTATTGGTCATTGGCTTAAGATTCAGGGTTATGTCCGTCGTCCTCCCCCCCCCCCCCCAACATTTTCAAATAAGTTATAGCAAGATTTAAGTACAGTGCAAAGAACATTTTCCTGAACTACTCGAGAGAAAATTTCCACTTGATGCCCCATTGCTCCTTAACACGTTAGTGTGTATTTTCTTCAAATAAGGACAATCTATAACAAACAAAATTAGGACCTTCACAAAGATACATTACTTACCACCTAATCCTCAGACTCCCATTTTAGATGGCTTCAAGTGCCTCAGTGATGTAGAATGATCCTATATTTGAGTTGTCTGTGTTTCCTCATTATTAGATTTGGGTTTTGCATTTTGGGCTGGAATATCACAGAAGTGATTCTTCAGTCTTCTCCGCGCATCCTGTTGCGTTGAACAAAATTTCAGTCTGTCCTTTTACTGAAGGTATCACTTGATTGAGGCTTCTCCATTGTAAAGTTACCTTTTTAGCCCTTGTAATTAATAAATATTTTGTCTGGAGGTTCTTTGAAACACTAGATTTTATTTCTCATCAAACTCAATTTATTTATTTTCTGTCAGTATGGATCAATTTCCTGTTCAAAGGGTTATAATCTTTTACCATTATTTGTTTTGATGTTTAGATTGTTCTAGGTATCATTACTGGAGCCTCTTTAAGCTGGCTTTTTGGTCCCTTTGACATGTCCCTGTCATCCTTCCAGCCTTGCTTTCTGGCATAACAGTATGTTCCAGGCTCATCTTGTATGTTCTTTTCCTCAGCCTTGGAATCCTCCCGTTCCCCAAGGAGCATTGTTTTTTTAAGTGACAGTTGTTCTTTACAAGCCCAGATCGGAGCCTGAGGTGTGCTCACTTCATAGCTATTAGAGTGCCATTTCTCCTAGGTGATCTGAACCTGGAGAGAGAGAGAGAAAGAGAGGGTGGGAGAGGGGGAGAGAGAGAGAGAGGGGAGAGAGAGAGAGAGAGGAAGGAAGGGAGGGAGGGAGGGAACATGCTCATTTAGTATATCCAGATGTATATTTGTGTCTCTGTGTATTGAAATCGGTGAATTAGCACCAGTACTTTCAGTTTAACCACAGGGTTTATTCGGTTTTCTTCCTTTCTATTCTGAAAACTAAGAAACCAGGCTCCTGTTAACTGCAATGCATTTGTTTATTTGATCAATCTTTTCCAGTGTAATCCACCTCCCATCTCCCCAGGTGGACCCTTCTAGTCTCACTCAGGTCTGACACCCGCCTAGGCCACCATGGTCACTCCTCCTCTCCCTCCCTGGTTGCTCTCTCTCTCTGATTGCTTTAGGTCTGAATTGTTAGGAAAGGGGAAACGAAGAGTAAAGGTTTATGTTAGATATTATGGACTATTGATAGTCCTCAGACTCAAGACATGAAGGAGAATAATTGTATTTCAGTGAGAAATTTTTTAGCAGCTGGGAATCATTTGGCCTTGACTAAAGGAAGATGAGGTAGGTGGGCCTTTTCTACCAGTTCAAAGTTACATAGCTCCTTGCTGTCAGATTCTAGGTGTTGAGGTTGAAGAGGGAAGGGGATGTGCTGCACTGACTGTGAAGGGTGAGGAGAAGAGGAAAGGTAAGAATGAGAATGACCAGCTGTGAGACTGGTAGTGTGTGGTGTGGTGTCAGTAATAGAGTGAGTGGGAGCAGGTCGCCAGAAGAAAGGGTCTGAGTTAAAGAAATCTTTCAAGGGTTAACAGTGTCATTAGCAGCTGAATGGTTCTGGTAAAGAAAGTTCATGATGATGGGAGTGTTTTACCTTTGACCATGAGTGGCTTCTTAAGAAAGTTAAAATGTATAGATTTTTTGAGGGAGGGGGGGGAAGGAGGTGTGTGTGGGTGGGGGGGAGATTTTTTGTTCCATTTACTTAGGCACTCATTGGTTAAACCTTCTATGTACCCTGACCAGGGATGGAACCTGCAACCTTGGTGTACCCAGACGATGCTTTAACCAACTGAGCTACTGGGCCAGGGTAAATACATGGGTTTTTAATGCATTTGGAGCCAGATTTAACTTGGAGTCATGACTTCACTATTTAATTTTCTTTAGCGATTAAGATCCAATGATCTTGTTCCATTAGGATGTCAGAGGATTGCTCTGCTAATTATGGAATTAAGTTATAAAAGTGGTTACTTTGGAGTGGGTGTTACTCATTGTTAGAGAAGATTGTGTGTGTTTGTGCCTATATAGGCATTATTTTAAGAAATATTTTCTTTGGTTTGGGAAGGTTTGGAGAGGACCTTACTTAGAGAGGTGTGCTTATTGCTCAAGTATATGTCACGTAGTGAGAATGTTACCCGGTACCCAGCTTTCACATTTCAAGACTAGACAAAAAGAGAGTCATGTTTTTTCACAGCCATAATATACTTTGAGTTGTCAGATGGAACAAAGGTGTGTTCTTTGGTTTGTGTGTCTCCCCTCCCCCCCAAGGGATGGGCAGGTTGTGACTCCCAGGCAGGTCACCTTAGGGGCAAACTTTACCTGCTCAAAACTTCCTCTCACAGTAGTAGTGAGGATTTGGGCATAACCCAGATTGTTATTTTCCTTACTCATAAGTTTAAGGCATTGGACCAAAGGTTTTAATAAGTGAAGCCAAGAAGATGAATACAACAACTTTGGAAAAATGCTCTGAGCACTGGAAATGCCTTCCTGTGTTTATGATGCAGGCAGTGAAATAGGTTTTGTTACCAGTGTTTAGTTGATATACATTAAGGATTTGCAGAGCATTGCACTCTTTCTCCTATACTTTTTAGACCTGTGGTTTTAAAAGAATGAATGAGTTTTACTTTAAAAATCATGTTTTTGTGAGGTCAAGTGTGTTTACTGGATCTGCCTCTAAAAGCCCAAAATAATTTCTATGATGCCTTTATGATCCTGGAAATCTAATGGATTTGATGACATTTGATGGCATATTTTAATACTAGAGGCCCGGTGCATGAAAATTCATGCACTGGAGGGGGGGTCCCTCAGCCCGGCCTGCCCCCTCTCACAGTCCGGGAGCCCTCAGGGACAGGAGGCGACCCAACGATCAGGGGAAGGCGACACCCCCATCACACCTCTGCTGATGCCACTGCCAGCAGCGCAAGCCTAGGCTGGCCCTGGTTACCTGCGCCTTGGGCCAGCCCTGGGCGGCTGGGCAGCCACCATCCAAGGCTTGCCTGTGCCTTGGGCTGGCCCTGGAGGGCTGGCGGGCTGAGGGGACTGGGGGATTCCAGAGGTAAGCTCATGGAGTGGCTGTGCCTGCCTACCTGCGGGCCCAGCCTTGCTGCATGCCTGCCACCCAGGTGGGGCTGAGGAGACTGGTGCTGCCATCTTTGAGGGTGTGGCAGTCAATTAGCATATTCCCTCCTTATTGGCTGTGGGCGCTGCCATCATTGAGGGTGCGGCAGTCAATTAGCACATCCCACTTTATTAGATAGGATGTAATTGCTTGAGCTAAGAAAAACTCTTTTGAAGAGGTAAGGGTTAAATAGATCCTTGTTTTAGTGGTACTTTAATAATTTTCTTTCAATTTAGAATTAATGATACGATATTAAATTTTTGTTGTTATAAAAGTATTTCATGTTCCTTTTGGAAATAATTGCAGAAAGGATGGGGAAGTCAGCAAAAGAGTAAACTTGACCTTGGCCAGTGTGGCTCAGTTGGTAGGAGCGTGCACCTAAGTATGGCTCAGTTTAGTCCTGTGCACCACCAAAACATGGTGGCAGGTTCAATTCCTGGTCAGGGCACATACCCAGGTTGAGGGTTTGATCCCCAGTTGGAGCACATGCAGGAGGCAACTGATAGATTTCCTCCCTCCCTCCCTCCCTCCCTCTCTCCCTCTCTTCCTTCCTTTTCCCTATCACCGTCTCCTCTCCCTCTCTTCCTTCCCCTTCCTCGAGTCACTTAAAAAACCTCAAAACTCAAAATACCCTCCCTCCAATCTCTCACAGACAACCACTGTTAGCCACCTCCTTGATGAGACTATTTCTAAATCTCCTGTGTGCATATGTGATAAGTGTCACTCCCTGAAATGGAATTGCATTGTTTTTTTACTTTTGCCCTCCGACTTTCCAGCATCATAGGAATTAACACTGTCACATGAATACCTGTTCTATTTTCCGGACATCTTATCATTTATCTATCTAACTTTATATTTACATTTAGATGTGTTCCTCATTTTTTTATGTCAACCACTGATGACACATGTCTTCACCTAAGTCTTTGCCTTCTCTGAAGTCTTTTCAGGAGAAGCTAACAGTTGGGAATCCCATGACCATTATAATACTTGTATTCTATCTATGTTTGTTCCTTTTTGCTGTGGATTCTGAATCAAATAGAGCTTGTCAGAGTTCCAAAGTTCATGTCCAGCATGAAGATGGCCAGTCACTCTATCACCCTTGGGTGACAGCAGGCACTGTTAGGAGTAAAGAATGCAGTTTTTAATAAGCTCAGTATTAATAGGCAACAAAGTCTGGAATCAAATCAAAGACCTGGAAGTGGTATTGTTGAACGGTTACCTATCATTCTTTTCTCCAGTCTCCTACTATTACTGGTAAATTTCTTGGCACTAATTTGCACATGGTAGAGAATAAATCTTGAGATCTTGGGGAAGACACCTGGCCAGCCCAAGACCATGCCTTTGCCCCACAACTCCATTCAGTGTCTTCAACGAAAAACTTGGGTGGTGAGGAACTTTCTACATCATTAATAATACTGGGATGAGTGCAGATATGTAAACACAGTAGCCAGTCAGTCATTCAGGGATTAAGAAGCTTTAGGGATTTTTGACAATCTGTTTTAAGGCATCAGAGACTTCTTGGCTAAGTTTGGCAAAGCTCTCCTCCTTTCCTACCACGACCTGGATTTCTGAAGGGAGGAGAAGTTTGCTTGCTTTGAAGGGGTCCACATGTCTCTAGCCAGAGGCATAATTAGTATATTTCACTGGTACAAGCAGAGAAGAGGGAGAAGTGGGTATGAACCATGTGGAAATGCAGCAATTCATACCATCACTCCATTTTCTGCCATTAGTCTTGTTATTCTTAATGAGTTCTGTCATCTTCTCTTTGTTCTGACTGTTTATTAGCAGATTAAAAAGCTTAATATAGCAGAGCAATGGCAGGTTAAGTGATTCTGTTATTTACATTTTTCTTTTTACGGGGCCCTGTAAACAAGGTGGATTCCCAAGGGGGATTCCTTAAAAATTCCCACCCATGTAGTACACACTTCGTTCTTCTGACCTTGGGTGCCACAGTCCCGCGTTGCTGCATGTGGAGAGTTGGGGGGAGGGGGGGGTTCTTTTTAAAAAAATATTTTTATTGATTTCAGAGAGGAAGGGAAAGGGAGAGAGAGATAGAAATATCAATGATGAGAGAGAATCATTGATCACTTGTCTTCTGCATACCCCCCACTGGGTATTGAGCCCACAACCCTGGCATGTGCCCTGACTGGGAATCGAGCCATGACCTCCTGGTTCATAAGTCGATGCTCAACCACTGAGCCACCAAGAGGGGTGTGGGGATTTTTAGTCAAGAACCGCACTCTCAGCCTCTGTGAATCAGTACTTTCTGTTTTGGGACTGTCTGCCTTTGTTTCCCAAGTCTTAGAGACTCTTCAGTGATCAGCTGTCATTCAGTTACTAATTCAGCAAGCTTTTATTGAATCCTTTTTATATGCCAGACACCTAGAAAACAGACTGGAAGCAAGAAAGCAGTATCATTGGGTGGGTGGGTGGGGGTGTGTGTGCATATGTAATACTTGCAACAATAAAGATTTAAAAAAGAAAAGAAAAGAAAGCCATATCAGTGTGGTAAGTGAAAGAACATAGCAGTAGACACATGCCATGCCAGGGAGGAGGTATGCACCTTGCCAGCAGGAGGCAAGTGGCACTTTGCTCAGGGCTGTCGGGATGGCTGCAAGAGGAAGTGACATGAGTTGGATTTGTAGAAAGGGGATGGGGCTTGGAAGGGGTTTGGCAGAAGCCCTGCACAGGCATGGATTAGTGTTGGGGTGTATCGCTTAGAGTGCCTCAAGTTAAAACCAAGCAGTTAGATGTGTCGGGTTCTGTGGGCCCTGGGCTAGATAGGAGGACACTACCCAGGCTCTTCAGCTGAGAGGTGACTTAATATAACCGTTATTTAGTGAGATGATCTGGCAGCTCAGTGGAGAACTGCAGCTGCAGGAATGCCATCCCATGGGGTTATTGTAGGAATGCAGGCAGGAGGTGCAGCCTTGACCCAGGTGTCCCCATTTGTAAGATGGACATGCATTGTCTCTAGCACACAGCTCTTGTGGAGTGAGACAGGCCCAGATGGCACCTGTGGTAACCATCCCAGTGCACTTCACTTACTATTTCCCAGTGAGCTTAGGCAGACATATATAGCGGAGAGGAGGAGGGTTCAATTTGAAATTTAGAAGGAACGATCTAAAAGGCCATCTGAACAGACCTCAGGTACTAGAAGGGTGGTGTTTTCTCTAAAGACAGTTGCCAGCTTTGTGGGCAAGGAGCACATTTTGATAGAGTACTGGTTTTGGGTATTGAGGATGATAAATTCTAAGTAGGGCAAATGCAAAAGCCTGGGGTGATTTAGAGGTCACAAAATGAAAGGGGATTAACCTGCTAGAAAGCAATTAAGTAATCTCCAATTGCAAGGAACACTGTGGTGCTAATAATGAACTTCCTTGAGCAAAATGGGAACGTTTTACATTATAGGAGCTCTTCTGGGAGGAAGGCACAGGGTCAGAGTGGTACACAGCTGTTTTTTATGGATCCTTCTGCATGGTGTTGCATCTTAATTTTTGAGAATGGTTACAGTGAAAGTTTGCTCCAGAATGGTGTCTCACTGCCCTGAGGGTGTCAGTGGCCACCCTCTTTTCTCCAAGTCAAACCAGCCTTTTTCCTCATGTGCTTGCTTTTTCAATAGAGTATGTGTTTCTTGGCTGAGTTTTGCTGAGCAAGTGATTTATTTGCCAGGATAGTTTATCAGGCTAGTTATGAAGAAATATGAAACCATGGAATTCTTAAGTGGGGAGGGGGAGGATGGATCCCTTTTAATTGTACTGAGGCCTTGATCAGTTGTTAAGGCTCCAAGACATTTTGCTCGGAGGATTGGCTCTACTCCCAGCCAGCTGGCCTCTGACCAGGCTGTGCCCTCCCCGAATATAAAGCAGCCCCCCCTTTCCCTGCCAGTGGCTGAGGATACAGGCTCTCAGTCATCTCTAGATTTCCACCTACTTTATAGAGATTCCCTTAAATTTTCCAGGCCTTCTGAAATCCATGTAGAAAACGTAGATGAAGAAAATAAACTTTAAGTAAGTATAGTCCTGTTTTGTTTGCTGAGCATCTTGCTGGCTGCTGAGGCGTCGATATTCTGACAGCGCAAAGTTACTAGTGTTCTTGTCCCAATTGCAAGGTGACCTTTCCCCAGTATTCAGTTTCTGTGTTAGAATCTGTGGACACTGCATGATGAGGAGAGCGCAGCCTTTATTGTTCAGAGTGGCTGTGTGGTCTTGATGAAGTTACTTCCTCTCTTGTTCCACTTCTAAACTCATGGGTGGAAGTGGTGGGAGCTGAACCCATCGTGTCTG